GTTCTCAGGAATAGTTTCCTCCTGTTAGGGAAAAAGCTTTGATAAAAGTCACATCCAGGACTTTAATGCCAATTCCACACAGGAACTATGTGATCTCTACAACCTCTTGGATACATCACCTATAAAATGAGGATAAGAATCATACTTGCTCTTTTGTTGTGAGGCTTAAATGGGATAGTGTGTGTAAACTGGTAGGTATTTGTCCTAGGGCGTTGAGCAACATGAGCAGTAGTACAAATTGCCTACAGAGGAGTTATACTTAGCTTCCAGGATATGAAGCCAGTTGAGAAGTAGGACAATTTATGAAGCTCAATTGATTTTAGCTTCCTCATCTAGAAAGTTAACCAGTGTTACCTTGGAGAAGTTTTCCCACAGCTTTGATACCTGCTCAGTGGTACCTTATAAGAGGACAAGAAACAAGTCAGGATGTCTTGTGGAAGAGAAAAGGGAAGGGCCTAGACTGATTACCCAGGAACTGCACAAATAGGTACTGCATGCCTGAGCATAATATTAATGTAGTGGACATGTTCTCAATGACAAAGAGGCTGGCTCTATTGCTCTATTATTCCTAATGTCATATTACATGATATGACATTGGGAATTTACTTTGCCTCTTTTAAAGTTGGTTTCTTATCTCTAAAGAGGCTATTTTAAAATTACTATAAAAATAACCATTAAATAAAATGAGGTCTGACATAAAACCACCATAGAAAGAGCTTAAATTAAAAAAATTTTTTTCTTGCGAGTCACTAACACTTAAATATGGCTTAGAATCCAAGATGGCCTCAGATTCTACTATACTTGGGAACCTGTGACTATAAATTATTTAAGCAAACCTCAACTAGAAGCCATGGTCATCTTCAATAGCAGTTTTTGATTTTACTTCCACTCCAAACAATTTATCAGTGAGTAAAATACATAAAAGTGGAATTGTTCTAGCAAATGCAGGGGGAGAGACTAAGCTTTAATCATTTGGTATTCTCCTCGGTTCTGGAACCCCAGAGCTCTCCAAGTGTGAAAAGAGATTACTGAATTTGTCCAAATGAGGGAAAAGGTTTAAATGCCACAGGAATAAACTCCATGGGACAGCCCTAATTCTATTCTGGCACTAGAATTCTATTGCATGTCTTTTTTGAAATAGGTAGCTAATGGGATTCAATTCTAATTTAGACATGTTGCAAGAGGCCTGATACTAGGAGTATTATATGGTAGTAAAAATGGACCTGCCTGGGTCAGGTCATACAGGATAGCCTTTTTGTTCAGTTACAAGACAAAAAGAAATCTCTGCTAATAGTAGAATGGACTACAAATTATTTGTTAATCCTCACACTGGAGTTCCAAGAAACTCTTGTGGGAAATGGCCAACTATTCCAGGCTTAATATGACCTTCACTAAATGTGCAGAAGTTGTAGCCATAGTAGCTCTTGTTTTTAACAGCAAGCAGGGTAGTAGCAACTGGGGCAGAGTGGGAAGGTCACATGACTTTGCACAGACAATCTGGTTACAAAGAACGGCCAAGCCTCGAAGGGAGGAAAGGTACTGTTATGTGGACACTGTTTCTAAAAGGGGTTTTTGGAGGAAGGGCTCTTTCCAAGACAGACAATCTAAATTCCTAAGTGAACGCAGGTCACACACACAGGCATCTAAAAGCCTTGTTTTCTTTGACAATAAATATGCAGTTAATTAAACTCAAGACTTTTCAGGGAAGCCCAGAATTGGGCCTGGAGAATAAATACATGGGAAAACTGCAAAACCATGAAAATACATTTTTTAAAAAAAGCTTTCAGGTATAATACACAAAAGCAAACAAGTTTATCTTAAAAAATATCAAGTATCACATCCATAGCCTATTCCTAATTATAATTACTTCTTAAAGCAACATTTCTTTGTTTACAGATACAGCAGCAGGTGATAAAACCTAACATCTCAGATTGCTTACAGTTCATAATACAAACAAATGTATATGTCTTAAATCACATTTTAGGCAGTTTAACTTAAAATGCATAGACAATTACATACATTAAGTTTGTCATTAAGTCAATGAAGAAAAATCACAATTTTAAGAAGTTACAAAAAACCTTTGTAGAGCACACATAAATCAAGTTTGCTTAATGGCAACAAATCTGTACCTGCTTATCAATGATGGGCAGTCAAAGTACCTTTAACCAGGGGCAGTGTGAGAGGGAAAAACACCCTATTACTTTGTACACTTGAATAGCTGCACTGATCAACACTAACTTCTTGAAACATATTTTCTTACTTAAAAAAAAAAAAAAATAAGAAAGAAAAAAGGGCATCACACACCGCCCTTTAAAATGCTCCAAAACTGGTTTGTAATTTCTACTAGCAGCTCTTCTAAAATATAATGGGTAACTAATATAGGTGTACTAATGAATTATGTAAAGTCATCCCTAGACTAGGAGCCCCTCAAGGATAGGGATTTGCTTTCTCTGACCTCTGGCATAGCACCTGATCACAATATGTGATTATTGAATGAACACAGACCTCACATGTTTTCTATAGCCAGAAGTCTGCATGGCATTTTAATACTGATTATTTTATTGGCAGTGTTTCCCTTGACAGAATTCTGAAAATAAAAAGAACAGTGTCTTTTGATAATATTGCTTTACTAAGATTATAGTCTTCCCTTGAAGGATGCCCACCATTTTCTAAGCATTTTATTAATGATTCTTCTGAGTTTAGCCTTATGCTTTTCAAATTAATGGTAATACTTGAAAGTCTGTGCTTAACTTCTGGAATTTATAACCTGGCATTTCATGAAGCTGGTTCTACCTCACTCGGGGTGAGGAAAACAGTGGCACTAACTGTTAGAAGTGCAGGCAAGGACTAATATGCAAACCAGTCTTTTAATGGAAACTTTAAGTAGAGCTATTTTCACCTATACCAAGTTTAAAAACTGTATATTTGAAGTCAAAAGGCAGCCCTAATTAATTATTTTTGAGGTAATATATATCATGGGCAAATGATTTCTAGAAAATATTTCATTGTAGTTGTGACTCAGGCCCTTTTCTTTTCTGAACTATTATTCTCTACTGAAAACAAACAATAGCAAAATGGAGAAATAAGGAAGATGGTCCTTGGTTAATTAAAAAATGTTTATTCCTGAATAACCAATATATTACTTTACACAATAAATGAGAGCTGTAAATAGCATATTCAAAAGCATGAAAAGGTGGCAGGTAAGACCTGGAGAAGCCCAAGTATTTGTAAGTCGTCCTTTATTTATTATTAGGTACTGGGGACTGAATCCAGGGGCACTTAACCACTGAGCCATATCCCCTGCCCCTTTTATGTTTTGCTTAGGATGGCTTTGAACTTGTGATTCTCCTACTACAGGAATGTGACACCATGCCTGGATGAAGTCCTCCTTTAAGGAGCACTGAATTTTTAACAACTCTGTGAATAAGGATCTACGGTCTAGGTTTCCATTTTTCATTATTTGTGGGTTTGGCATTTTAAAACTTGAAAAAGATTCCAACTCTAGAACACCATTGTTTCTGAACATATTGTAATTATTTTTATCAAATTTATTTAGAAATTCTTGTTTGAAGCCCAAATGTAAGCATATTTGATAGTGTGTATCCCTTAAGACCAAATATGCTTGGCAATGTCCTTCCATAAACCAACCTCAGCCTAGCCTGACTTGTTTTATTTATTTTTGGTACTGAGGATTGAACCCAGGGTCCTTGACCATTGAGCTACATCCCCAGCCCTTTTTGAGATAAGTTGCTGAGGCTGGCTTCAAACTTGTGATGCCCTGCCTCAGCCTCCTGAGTCACTGGGGTTACAGTTATGTGCCATCACACTTGGCATAACTTGTTTGAAAAGCATTACTCCCCTACAAAGAGTAAAACCCTTCCCATATGCTTTTCCTCATCTGTTCACTGAAACTTTTGCTTTTCTTATTTCCACCCTAAACCTAGTATCTTTTAGCCCAGAGTACTCATAAGAATTGAGACATCCCCACTGCAAACCCTAGACAATTAGAGAAATGAGCTCTACAAAGATACAAGTATCAGTCGTAAGGTTCTTGGGGAAAAAAAAGTTAAAATGGCAGTCTGGGTCACTGGCAAATACTTTTAGGAGTATTAAATACTTTTAGGAGGAATAATTTCAAATCTTGGCCTTATAGCCCTTCAAATTGTTTAGTAAAATATTTTTTCCCATAATAAATGGACTCCACAACTATAGATCTCCACACTTGCTACCTCTTTTAGTGGTGTTATGTTAAATATTTCATCTAAAGCTAGAGTTATCTCAATTTAGGACAGTCACAATAACTATAAATAGAGGTATCTTTGCTTTCTCATTTTCCTATCTTATCCTTCCAGTTAAATGACAGCTTAATACTGATAAATTTAAACTATGATACATAAAGTTACCTGTTTTGCAGACTGGAGACTACTTTGACTAGAGTCCTTAGAGTATGGTAGATACAGTTACTACCTGTTCTTAAAAAGAACTGAAAGAACAACAACAAAAGAATACTTTTGCCACTATGTAAGAGCTAAGAACCTTTCCCAGTCTGAAGATACTTAAATAAATTAGTTTCTACCTTTACCAATTCTGAAAGCTTGAATCTATCACCTGCTTAAAATAAGGGACGTTTAAATGCTGATGTTCCTCTCAAAGGTGACCATATTCTTTTCTTAAAAGGAGGTAGCTATCAAATCATTAAACTGGCAGCACTAGGCATTCTTGACATTTTAATTACTGGAGAAATAAACTCCTGAATATTTTATTTCAAAGAAAAAACAGCTCCAGCATAAATGTTTTCTATAATCATCTGAGAAATCCACAACACATTTTAGTAACCCAATGGATACATTCAAATTTTCAAATCATTATTGATAAATAAGATCAGATCTACCCCAAATCTAAGACTGATTTAAAGGCAAGGTGCCAAAAAGCAACCAAAGCTGTTTTGGTAGTTATAAACAATACTCAATATTTAACAACATAGTCACACTGCTTTAAACTCAGTTGCAGAGAGCTACAATTTATTATTTTCACTGTAGAAGATAATGTTTTCAAAGATGGTACTCAATTCCACTTATCTGCCTGTCAACAAATACAGAACTTAACAGCCATAAATACTTTACAGATTCAGGAAACTATGCAGGAGACAATGACATAGCTTAACCAGACTCTGAAAGACAGAAACATTTTTGATTCACACTTGTACAAAGAGAACAGTCATGTCTGTACGACTTATAAAGTTCTCCAAACATAACTGCTGTATATTCTGTATGTTCTGATAACAAATCCCACATTGTGTGCTAGTCTTCTATATAAGGGAGTCATCAAAAGATGTGTTCCCTCTAAAGAACTGGGGGGTGGAGGGTGACTTCAGGGAATGGTCTGGGCAGAAAATAAACCTCTGGTTTCATGGAAATGAAGCAATTTCTAGGGTTTATCTAGTTTGAGGTTTAAAACAAAACAATTCTTTCCTTGAGCTCTTCCCAAAGCAATATGCATATCTTATAATCCATTCTAAAGTAATACAAACAGATATCCGTTCTCTGAATGGATTAAAAAGAAAAAAGTTAGGGCTATGGGTGTAGCTTAGTGGCAATCTAGCATGTGTGAGGCCCTAGGTTCTATTCCCAGCACTGCAAAATAAGACTAATTTTTCATAAATGGCAGATTTTAGAGCTGAGCTATATAATCCATATGGCAAAAATAAAACAAATCTAAGTTTTTTACTAAAAATCTGAGAATAAAAATGAACACTGGCTGGATAATGAACATCTGATAGTAATTAGTTTAAAAAAAGGTGTATCCAAAATAAAACCATAAGAGGACCAGGTTTATTTATCACATAGGAGAGCAGCTCAAAATGTTCAGAGGCATCATTTGTTTAAATTATAATGTGATTGTTTTTGAAGTTTATTTGGGGGAGGGGAGTGATTATAGAAAAATACTTAAAATCTGCAACTTCATTGGCAAAATATTTTAACAATAATCCATATCATCTTAGATTTTTAAATGTGTAGTTTCATAATTTAAACAAATTGTATCAAAGAGCTATTCAATTTAATCGTTTTCCCCCCATGAAAACCAAATAAAATCACACCTGAATGATTTACTTCTATGTTTTTATCTTCTATGTTTTGTACTACACATCCAAGAGGCAGATATCTTCTGAGAGGTGCAAGAGTTGTTCTTTCATGAATGCCCTCTAAGAATAGTGAAACCAGCAATTTTTATATATGCATTCATTTGCATATATATGTACTTCAAAAAGCAAAGCGCCATCTCTTCATCCACTGTTAACTTAATGGTAAGACTGCAATAGAAAAAAGAAAAAGTCAACTTCTAGATTTTATAAATGGAGTTTTTTAACTCCTTGCTGTGGCTTAAAATAAATTTATTGTTTAATAAACCCAAACAGCAAGTCAACTCATTTACTCTGGCATACAGCTAGCAGAAAAAAAAAAAAAAAAAAAGAAAGAAAAAAAATTTTTTTAGAGAATATATATATAGCAGATATAGCCGAGATGGGCATTTATTAGCTGGAGTTCTGGTTAGTTTATCTTGTAGATTAACAAATCTTTTTTCTTTTCCTTTCCTGTAAGGAGAATCTTGACTCTGGATACTCACTTGGCTTATCTTGTGGGGGATATTGCGTACTTTTTTTTCCCCCCCAGTCATATACCTAATAGACTCCTCAACTAAAATATCAGCCCTATTCTAGTCTGACTTGACAGTAAAGCAAGAAAAATTACATTTAACTCATAATCAGGAATAGAAGTATAATCTCAAGCTCAACGCTACTAAGAATTGAACAAAACTTTGGCTGAGAAGCACTAGGGGGAGTTGCCTGAAAGATGAGCAACATACTCATTGTCTTAAGTTCTCAAAAATTCTCCCTCCGTATCAAGTCAGATAGGAAGAAATTGCTTTTATTAAACTATGCTTTAGTGTGATGCTATAAAAATAATATTGAGAGACATAAAAAAAAAACACAACAAAACAGTCCAATTAAATGCATCTCAAGAGTCTACAAAGGATGCTGTTGAGAACATTATTCACTGTTATAAAACCTTTAGAGATCTCTGGGAAATTTTTTCTATTATTAGTACCCGGAATACTTTTGCTCTTATCTTTTTAAATGCTGTATCTAAATTTTCAAATTTACTCATTTTATGTATTTGCGAACCTTAAAAAAGATTTCAAAGACTCTATAATCTTCCATCCAGAACTGGGAAGAAGCAATTTTTCAGTTGTGCTTATGTAACTATTAGTGCATGTGAAGTAACAAATTGAACACTCACATGGGGGCCACCAGGCATTGGCGGAGCACCAGAAGGTCCTGAAGGCACTTGAAAAGGATTATTGGGAGTAGGATAGAGTCCTGGTGTGGGATATGATCCTGCAGGGGCAGGATATGGTGCTGGTGGTCCCCAGGCTCCTGGTGGCACAGTGCCCCATGGAACAGGTGGTGCTGCCCCTGGTGCCTGGGGAGGAGGAGGAGTGGGATATGGCCCTGGAGATGGATATGGCATATTAGGAGTAGGATACTGCCCTCCCATTCCTGGTGCCCAAGGTCCAGAAGACATGGATCCCCATGGACCTAAAGGACCAGCTGCAGATGGATCTGTGGGTGCACCATATGGTCTAGGTAGCTCTGGAAAGGGCATATTTGGTGTAGGATAGGGCCCTGTGGGGCCAGGGCCTGGCACAGATGGGGCTGGATAAGGACCACCAGGTGGGGGACATGATGGTCCAGAAGGAGGAAAGGGTGCTGGGGGTCCTGGAGGTGGTCCGGTGGGAGGCACGGAGGGATACATTCCTGTTGGTGCTGGTCCAAAAGGCACAGTGGAGGGTGTTGCACTTGGTGGGAGTCCAGATGGCACAGAAGGTGGAGCACTTGGGTTATTCCAAGGGTTGGAACCTGGCCAGCCTTGAGGAGGTTGACCAGGTTTGGTATTGCTCACAGCAGGGGTTTTGGCAGGGGAGTGTTCAGGTAGTGCATCTGCCAACTGGAATACAAAACAGACATGTCTTATTTGTCTTATCCAGGAAAAGTCAACATGATTATAAACTCAAATAGACCAGTAAACCATCAGAGTGAGGGATTACAAACCTCAATAGCATCTTCAAAAGCTAATATGTATTTAATATAAAACTTGAGTTGTTACCTTGATTATCAGTGCAATTTTTTTCAGAAGCTCAACTTCTCTAAATACAACTGATGAGATTTCTCATTTTCTTTTTTTTTAACTTTTTTTTAAATTATTAGTTGTTCAAAACATTACAAAGCTCTTGACATATCATATTTCATACATTTGATTCAAGTGGGTTATGAACTCCCATAGATTTCTCATTTTCAAAAACAGTTAACTTGAGGTACAGTTAACTTAAGATACTATATGTAATAGAATAAACATAGTGCCTGCTATAAAATAAGTTTCAGAAAATGTTGGGATTATCACTACTATAAAGTGTGAAAAAGAGCAAGAGAAGCAACACAAAAAACTTCATTTAGAGATTCATAAACACTTCTGGATACATTTTCAAACATGCAGTTATCTATGTAAATAAGGTAAATCACCTATTAAAATCACATGCCAAAAAATCCAAGCATCACAAAAAACATCTTTTTAGACAGGACCATGTTTTCCTTAAGAACCAAAAATAACTCATCAAGGATAAACATCAACTTACCGAAAATTCATCAGACATTTTCCTAAAGAAAGAAAGAAAATTTCAAAATCAGTATTTATTATTTCTTTTATAAACTCAATGGAAATTTTATAAATGTATTATTTTTACTTAAAGGGAATTATCATTTTATTTTGTGTTTTTCTTTATAGGAAAATTTTTCGACAGGAGTTCATATAGCTCTATCAACTTCATCCCTTTTAATGGCTAAACACCATGTAATAATGACTATATAGCAAAGTAGTTTCCCTGTGTTGCCCAGGCTGTTCTCCTCCAACTCTCAGACCCAAGCAGCCCTCCAGGTCTGCCTCCCAAGTAGCTGGGACAACAAGCACATACCACAAAGCCCAGCCTGATCCACACTTTAAAGTTCTGATTTCTGTGGCAGTTTAGGTTGTAACAATGGTGTAGTGAACATCTCTGAATACTTAACTCTGCTCATGTGTGAAAAAGTACCATGAGTGGAATTCACAGAGTCTACTGCTAACTATTTGAGAAACACATATCAATTTACATTGTCACCCTTTTTTTTCCTGGATATTATTAAATTTTTATGTCATTTTATTTCATTTTGTGTGGTACTGGGGATTAAACTCAGGGTTGTTCCACTAGAACTTTCCCAGTCCTTTTTATTTTTTGACAGAGTCTCACTACTTTGCTGAGGCTGGCACTGAACTTGTGATCCTCCTGCCTCAGCCTCCCGAATCCCTTGGATTAACACCACACCTGGCTATAAATCATTTAAAATCATGACAGATTAACAATTGGCATCACATTTTAATTTACATAAGTGGAAGGTAGAATAACTTTTTTTGGTACTAGAGCTTGAACCCAGGGGCACTTAACCATGGAGCCACATCCCCAGCCCTTTTTATTGTGTTTGAGACAGCGTCTTGCTAAGTTGTTGAGGCTGGCTTTGAACTTGCAATCCTTGCTGGGCAGCTAGGATTATAGGTGAGTGCCACAATGCCCTGTAAGAATAACTTTTTAATACTTAATTTACATTTCTTTTTCTGTGAATTTACTGCCATCTTGGACCACATTTAGCCGTTTTTAAATTTTTAAAACCTTTTTGCAGTGCTAGGGATTGAATCCGGGGCTTCTAGGCAAGAATTCCATCACCTAAATATACACTCTAGCCCCACCATTTTAGAACTGAAATACAATTAACACTCAATAAAATACAAACATCTTCAGTATTCAGGTTAACAAGACCTAACCATTGTATATTCCCTGTAACCAACCCAAATAAGATATAGAATGTTTTCTATCACTACAGGAAATTTATTCGTGTTCTTTTCCCAATCACCTATTCCCTATCATCACTTCTGAGTTACTTTTGCTTGTTCTTTAACTTTGTATGAATAGAATAAGATAGCAGGTTCTCTTTGTGCCTTTGAGAATTTCACTACTTAGTAGTACCATCATTCTCCTCTCCCCTCTGCTTTGCAAGATACTAAGAAATCAGCTGTCATTTATGAGACTTTTTTTTTTTTTCTACTTAGATCTTTTCAACTATAGATCCCTTAAATGGTATTTTTTGGTATAAAAATTTTAATTTTTTCCCTATGTATGACTTCTGGATTGTGTGATGTCTGTATGAAGGCCTTCTCCACTTCAAGATTAAAAAGAAAATTATATGTTGATGGTTTAAATTGTTTAAAAATTTAAATTCTTCCAAGAAATTATTATCAAATAACCTAGGTTTATCAAGCAATTAAACTACCTTCAAGACTTCATTGCTGCTACAACTATTATTTGTGGAATGGTTATCATTGAATGCTCAAGGTCTCTACTTCTTTAATGCAAATTCAATTGTCATCCCCAGTTTACAGCTGGAGAAAAGGAAGCTTAGCAAGTTACTTTTTTTAAAGTCTTAGAGCTAATGACAAGTAGAGCAAGGGTTCAAACCCACATATACAATCTGACCTCAGAGCCTCAAGCAGGCTACAGATCTGGTGGACTCTATTATTTTCTACTGATTTGTACTTAGCTTTTTTTTAAACCTTTAATTAATTAATTAATTTTTAATGTGGCGCCAAGGATTGAACCCAGGGCCTCACATGTGCAAGGCGAGCACTCTACCACTGAGCCACAACCCCAGCCCTGTACTTAGCATTTTTAAAACAAATTTTAGTGTCAGCTACCCTACTATTTTTCCCAGGTGTTCCTGAATATTCTCATGTTTATTTTTTCCATGTTATTTTGTAAAAAATTAAAGAAATTGTTGGTGTTCTCATTGGAAATGCATTAAATTTACAGATTAATCAAAGGGACATATGAGATTTAAAATGTCAAACCTTATTTGAGAACAAAATGTGTCTTTCTTTCAAAATATGCCATTTTTTCTTTTCTCTTTGAGACAGGGTCTTCCTATGTTGTCAAGGCTGGTCCTGAACTAGTGTGCTCACCTGTCTCAGCCTCCATTAGCTGGGACTACATGCATGTGCCAGCTAACCTGGTTTAGTTCGTTTTCTTGATCATATCTCTTACATATTTCTTACAAAAGAGATTTCTGCAAGCCCTTTTTTTGTGGTTGTAAATAGGCTCTCCTCCATTATATTTTCTAATTGGTTAATTATATAAATGGGAAAGGCTTTTAAATTTTTAGTATATTATTTTCATAAGCAGTGACATCACTGAATTATCTTATTCCTAAATATTTTTCAGTTGACTCTTTGGGGTTTCCAGATAATAATTTTATATTCTCTTTCCAATATTTACAGCTCCTTTCTCTTTTGCCGCAGTTAGGATTTAAACAATGAAATGTCAAATGATGACAGGAACACAGTGATCTTGTTTCCAACTCTCCTGGAAATGATTAAGTATGAGTTTCATTTTTAGTTTTAGATTTTAAAAAATTACAGTGAGATTTTACTTATGCCTGTTACTATACTTATTTATTCCTATTTTAAGCACATGAATACTTATTAGTATTGAGCCATCTTGCATTCATCATGAGGAATAATCTTGCTTTTTATTCAAAATATCAAAACCACACCTTGAATGTATTGCAAACATAATTATCCATTCATTTAAACATTAAGGTCTGTGTTCCACTAAAATCACATTATACAATAATACTCATAAGGATCAATGTTAGATGAAACTGTCAATGTACGATATGTTTGAAGTCTATATAAGACTGGCATACTGTTCAAATATAGAAAATACTTCTACACCAAGATTCACATTGCTGGATGTGGTGGCTCATGCCTTTAATCCCAATGGCTCAGGAGGCTGAAGCAGGAGGATGGAGAGTTCAAAGCCAGCTTCAGCAAAAGCAAGGTGCTAAGCAAAATTCAATGAGACCCTGTCTCTAAATAAAATTCAAAAAAGGGATCAGTGATTAAGTGCCTCTGAGTTCAATCATCAGTATACCTTCCCCCCCAAAGATTCACATTAATTCTGGAGCAAAGAATCTTATTAAAGTGACCCATTCAATTTCATATGGTCTTGTTGGTCAGGTTTTCAGAATTTTTCCTTCACTCTTAGTTTTTGAAAAACATGATATCCATTGACTAGTTAAAGAATTTCATGAATATAAATTATATAACAAACTCAAACTAATACACAACTCTGGCTTTAAAGTTTTTAAATCAAGTGTTGAAATAATGAAGCCCTGACCAAAGGAATTAGGAATAGGTCACTTCCTGTTCTTCCTCACTGCCTTAGTAAATAGACCTGCTCTCCATGCTTAAAATAAACATTGTTCATGTTAATTGGAAACATTCCAACTTGCTCTTTAGGCTATATTTTCATGCAAAAATTGATTGAAAAAAAGAGTTGGGACATTAGTAAATCAACATGAGTAAATTTACAGAAATTTTCTAAACAGCTATTCTAATAAAAGAGTTGAACTACAATAATTATTAAGATGAGGCCAGTGTAAACTTGAATTTGTCAAAAAAAAAGCTTATAATCAATAAATGTTTTCATTCTTCCTTTTTGGTCTAATTTAAAGCTATTACTTTCAACAATTTCCATTACAACTTTATGACACAATCTACCCATTACCTGAAAAACACTTAATTTCTGAGCAGCAAGAATAGCAATTTCAAACAGAGTACAAAATGTCTTTAACATACACTAGAAAAGTAAAAACATTTCACTGACACCTAAGGCCTTTAGAGGGAATGACAATTTAATTATAAGAAGTTAAGAAAGCTGAATTCCTAGCAACATCGGACAAGTAATAATTAAAAAAATCAAATTGTGATGGAGTGATAAATAGTATGAAATGTACCTCCTAGGAGACCTGGATATCAATCCTTTTAACAAATGCAAATTTTCAAACAAGAGATCATTTTCTTATCTATAAAACACAGAATTCCTAAAGGACTTAAGGGTCTATATTTCCAGAGCCACTCCTGACACCTAGCTACCTCATACATAATTAAAAAATAATTATTTATATAAAGTGCCATACAATATTTATTCAGAGAAGCTAAACCAAGTGTGTTGGCACATGACTATAATCCCAGACACTCCAGAGGCTGAGGCAAAAAGATCACAAGTTCAAGGCCAGCATGCAACTAAGCAACACCTGTCTCTTAAAATCAAAAAAGGGCTGGGGATGTAGCTCAATGGCAGGACACTCCAGGGTTCAATTCCCAGTACTTAAAAAAAAGGAGCTAAGGTGAATCAGAATTTTTGTGTTCATTTGTTTAGTATGGGCAAGACTGTGAGTATTGTATTGAAAACAAAATTTGAATTAGAATATGTACTAATTTTTTATTAGCAAATTTATGAAATTATATTCCATTTTTTACACTGGATAATTCAAGAAATTGTGATGAAAAAGTTTTGAGCACTTAAAATTCCCAGTAATACCATTTACATTTATTTAGTTACTTTCTGGAAAATATGTGATAGGCACTGTTGGGCTGTGGGAAAATTAGTACTATGGAATGAATATTCCTGAGAAGTGGTGTTTCTGCAGTTTAGCTAGACTATAGAAAGCAGAGAAAATTTTAGCAGAAAATTCTTAGACAAGTGTTTGAATCATTTCACTTAACAGTCAGTTTACCTGAATGGACTTGTTTCTTCATCAATATAAAATGAACCAATAAAATTATATGGAGACTAAATGGGACTCTTGGATCAAGTCCTAAAATCATGCTTGGAAAATAGTGGGTAGAAAACAAATATCAAATTCTCTTGTCTTCCTTTGTATATGAACAATATGGCATGAAATTAGAAGAGTACATTGCCTGCTCTTCCCTAGTTGGCTGGACTCTGGCCAAGTACAACTTTCCCAATTTCAAAGGTAAAGGGAAACAGGAATAGCATTCATCTCACAGATTTGCTATGTGATTTATATAAAATAAATTAACAAAACTAGCTTTTACAACTTCTGTCTTCCATAAACCTTTATCTGTTGTTCTCAATCCAGAAACATTTGAAAATAATTTTCCCAAGTTTGGCACAAAACTTATTCGATGGCAAAATCTGACTTGAAGCTATTCATAGTTTTTACTAATTCCCACTTAGATTGAATATTCACACCCACTGCTGTACAATCTATTTTCAGAGCCCAGGATAGAATCTAGGACTCTGCACATGCCAGGCAAACACTCTGCCACTGAGGTGCGGTCCCAGACCCTGCATAAATATTAATGTTAGATTATGGGGTGCTACCCCGATTCTGCTGGGGGGGTTACCTCATTTATATAGACCAGTCTTTCTAAAATATAAAATAAGAATTTCTGGATCCCAAAATATACTGGCAGACTGGAGATAGGCATTTACCATTCCTCCTGGAAAGAAAACTAATATTCCAACATATACAACTCATAAGTTTCTAAAGCAAGTTAAGTTTTGCATAGGAGGCTCAAAGACACCAATAACTAGAAATATTTCTATTATTCCTGCCCAAAGAGTACTATTGAACAAAGAACTTATGAAAAACTTCGGAGGGCTATGCCCACAATGAGGATTCGGTTTCAACACAGGCCTTTACAACCTTCAGGTGTACAAGTATTTCTCCAGTAGTAAGGCTGTAATATTTTTTTGGTTCAATTTGATTTGATGCTTCGACATTAGAAGCATCATCTATTAAAAGCACGCCGTTTTCAAGGTAAAAAGAAAAAACGGTTCAGGCATTTACAGGAGACCATGCATAATACGTGCTTCTAAATCCTAAAACGAATGTTAACAGAACTTTGCACTTGTAGTTTGTCAGGGGAAGTATCTAAAGCATCTGTAAGCAACTCTAGTTGAGCGGTTGATCATGAGCTCAGAGACTCTAGTTAAGAATCGATTCCGGCCTTTCTCTCCCTTTTCATCAGAAATTAATGAATGGGGTGGTGGGGGTCATGGCAAAGGGGCACAGGGCCGGAAGCCCTGAAGGGCCAAGCGAACAAAGGGAGTCCGGGATCAACCGGAGCGAACCGGCCACGGAGCGGGTCGCGCCGCCCGGGAAGGGGGGGAGGGGGTCGGGTCGGCCAGCTCCCGCTCCGCCCCGCCCCCAGCCAGACCTGACGTCAAGCGCCGAGAAGCCCACGGAGCGCGACGTCAGCGTTCCCCTACGCCTTCTCCCTGGGGGCGGCGGGGGGAGGGGAACAGAACGCCTGGCTCCGGCTCCCCAGGGTGCTCACGGCCCAAGCAGTGGAGATGACTCAAGGCACCTCGGTTACCGCGCCCGTCTCCCGGTTGCCGCGCCCGCCAACCGCGCAATCGCAGCTCCCAGCCCCCTCCGCAACCCTCAGGAGCGCCGAAGCAGCCTTACCTGGCAAGATCCGAGCCCGCAGCAGGATGTAGCAGCGGCGATGGTTTAGAGGGAAATGGGCGATGAAGAACCAGGCGGAGCCTGACTGACGGCAGCGGAGGCAGCACCAGCAGCAACAGCAGAGGCAGCAGCGCGCGGCTCCTCCTGGCGCCGGAACAGGAAGCGCCGAGCGCACCGCCCCCGCCCCTTGACCGGGCCGCGTTCGCCCCTGCTGGGCGCCGGCGGGACTGCGCCTAGGCGCCGGCCGCGGGCTGCCGTTTTCTCTTTGAGGACCGCGGGAAAGCTTCCGAATTTTCCTACCTCCCAAGGACTCAGAGCATCGCCTGTAGTCGGCAGTGTTCAAGGTAGCCTCATGGAAATTGCCACTTGTTGACTTTGACTTGAGGGCAGATTCTGGATCCCCACTCTCGACTCCAAGCATTTTGGGTGTGGGACGCGGTCTGGCCAGACCGAAGGCCCGGACCCTCCGGACAGAATTGAAGAGAGCTGACTAAAAGGTCATTGTAGGAAACAAATGTGTGTAAATGGTTTGACCAGTATTTGCTAAAGGTTGTCTGCAGACTTCTCCCAATTCACACCTCTCCTCACATGTTCATTTTTGAATAAACATTAGGTACCATATAGTGGGGCCCAGGAGGTGGACACATGGACCCAGCCAAGGAATCTGCTGGGTAGTAATGATGTTGTAAGAGTGATGTGGGTATAAAAACAAATACCGGAACATACATTATTTTTATATAAAAATGTATGTAGTTACGTGTATGTAAGCCATTAGTGGGTTAGTGGGTGACTAAAAACCTCTTTAAAGACACCAAGTGGACCTACTCTCCAGTACAGTTTTTAACGGAAAAGGAGTAACAGGAAATTTGGATGCGTAAGACTTGGGGTAGTCCTAGTTGGGATGAAGGCAGTTTCGGAAAATTACACTACCAATATGGAGGACCTATCCTGTCCTCAAAAGAGGCAGCGAATCAGCAGTGATTTATGGAGTCATTAAAGCCTGGCGTAACAGAAAATAATATGGTCTGGTCTTAAATGCAAATTTTGATATCTTGCTCTCATTTTTTGAATCAAATCTAAAATATCTGCATCATAATGTTACCTTCTTTTGATTAAAAAAAAATATATACCCAATTGGTGTACCTCCCTCACCTCACCTTAGTCCTGGACCTTGGGTATTGAAAGCTTTTCCTTGCCTGCCAAGGACCAGTAACGGAGCACTCTGGAGGTTCTATAGGAATGACATGTCTACAGGAAACATTTGCTTAGTTACAAACTCCCCATCTAACACTTTTTCAACTGATCTGTCCAGTTCTTTCAATTCTTTACAGTTGTCAGATCTGCAATGTGATAGGAAGACTTTCTACCTTATGTTCCCTTCCCTTTTAACCTTAGTTTCACCACAAATAAATCTTGCAGGTATAATTGCATCCTGGCCTCTGTTTCTGGAAGCCCCCAAACTGATAAAAACTAAAAGTGTATACAAACGGACGGTGTGTAAGGATGCGGACTTTTCAAAAGTGTTCCTTTTCAAATTCCGAGGTGAATGTGTGAGGTAAGGACATTTTAAAAACAAAACACAAAGTCTTTGGATTTCACATGTGAAGATTTAATTAAGTGAAAAACCGTTCAGATCAAATTGTTTAAACTCACATCCAAGAACAAACAGTCAACATCAAAATTAGAAATAAAAGTGGAAATAGACTACTTTGGGGGGTATGGTGTGGATCATACAAGCCTGATTGACAAGAGTAGTTTTGTGAAATTACTATTTAAAACTCTGAATATTCAAGTATATATTGTTTGTACTTGGCTAATACAGATTTTATTCAATTCTAGCAAAATCAGCATAATTTGAGTAATTTCCTTAAGTTTCACACCATGGCTCTCAAGGCTGAAAGCTTAGATTTGATCATAACCATGGCAAAGTGATTATCATTTTTATTGCAAATGTAATCAACTTAAAAAGACAAACATCAATCTGACCTTATGAAGGGCAAGAGGAAATTGCAATTGTTCATTTAATTGCAGTCTAAACCATAAATTCAAATTGTACTGTTTTCTATTGTCGCATCAAGCTAAGAAAGCCTATTACAGACTACAAAAAGTGAATGTGACTCTGCAGGGTCTACTAAAGAAATATTTTGAAAACCTACCATCACATTATTACTTTATGGGTGTACAGCAATTATTTTCAAGTATGCTCCATGGGTCACTTCTTACCAAAGGATTAACCTTCAGGAAATGAAGTGAAAAGTATTATTACCTACACTTTATAGGAAATGAAGGCAAAGGAAGATGTTAAGATTGAGTAAGCTATTCAAAATTACAAAGAATAGCTTTGAGATAGGATTTATGAGCTAACCCTCTTTCCATTGTATTATAAGCAGTCTATATGTTGCTTACAAGCCAATGTATTTTTAAAAGTTACCTCATTTTTTTTTTTGTGTTCAATGTGTTAGTAAAGATTTATAGTGCTGCTTGTTTCTAGTAGGTCATCAATAAAGAAAAACTCTTGTGCTTTGTTCTTTCTTTAGAAATACAAGTGAATGTAAAACTGATTATGCTAAAACAAAAATGGTTAAAATATTTTTTTCCCAAAGTAGAAACAAGATTCCTTGACTTAAAAAATCTTTTACTTATGTGGGCATTACTTAACATTTCTAAAATAAAATAAATTACTTAACATTATATAGTAGGCTATTTTACATTATTTTGTTGTCTGTAGGAATGTATTATAACTAAGTCTACTTTCCTGTAAAATTTGCTCTACAAAAGTCAAAATATAAAATATGACATGACTATTGGATTCTGAATATAGCTAAATGTGATGAGAAATATTTTTAATGAAAACAAGAGTTAGATCTCAAGGTTTTTGTTTCATAGGAAATAAGTGCTCTAATACATGGATCTATAAAATGATCCAAACTTCAGACACAGGAAGTTGATAACTTGATTTATCTTAATGGCTTTGGCTCATGAATAAATGATAAAATTTTGTTTTCTTATCAAAAGAAGTATAATTTATATGAGTCCTATTGCCACATTTGTTCTTCTTTTTAAAGGATTTTTAATTACTAAAGCATTCTTTATATTATTTATAAGAAGTCAAAACTTTAACTGAAAGCTGTTTTTTTGACCACAGTTGGCCATTAGCTGAAATTCAGGAAAGAACACAAGTTTGATCACCAAATCAATAAATCTAGCCACAGGCTGACTAAAAGCTTCCTTTAATCTTCCTATTAGGTCTTCCTTTAAATTAAACCATTCCCTCTATGAATTATTTAGGTGAATGCATGGTTATAGAAAGATTACATATGACTTTTCATACAAAATGCTAAGGAACCTAAAAAAAGAGAAAACCCCATTCAGCATATTCCAAGAATTACAGCATGAATTAAGATGCTATAGATTAAAAAGGTGGTGGTGGGGGGGGGAACGTGTGCGAGGAGAGGATATATATCCTGAAAAGCTTGAGAGAAAAATAGAAAAGTGAAGTTTATTTCCTGATTAGCACAAGATAATTCCCAAAGCACAGCTAAGTGCCTGGTCCAGACAAGCTATTAGCTATTAAGTAGTTCCCTTTCACTGTCAAGTCTTTTCCCTGAGGTAATGCCTAAATTCTTAATATCTTATTTTCTTTTAGATGCATTCTCTTTCACCAGTAAGCTCTACATATTTCCACCATGCTGAATTCTTTCTCAACTCTGGAGTTTCTACTTTTCAAATGTTCATAATCTAGACTAATCTAGTGCTATAAATGTATCTTAGAAATTTTGTATCTTCACATTTTTATTCTCAAAATTTACTCATTTTATTATTTTGTTTTGTTTCTGTAGTACTAGGGCCTTGCTCACATGAGGCAAGAACTCTACTTCTGAGCTACATCACCAGTCCTTATTTTGAGACCTTCTTGCTAAGTTGCCAGGTTGGTCTTGACCTTGCAAACCTCCTGTCTCAGCCACCCAAATAGCTAAACTTACAGCAGCCACCATGCCTAGTTCAAAATTTACTCATTTTAGTTACAGCCCAATAAATACATTTTTGATGACTTATATAATACTGATGTTGTTCCATGTGTACTCTCACAAAAACATAAAGGGGATAATCTTTTAATATTCTAATCACTTAATTTTTAGAAAATTAAGTTTTTACTCTTTTCCATTCATGATAAATAATTCCCTCCTCAAGTCTTTATGTATGTCTACTTTCCAAATTTCTTTTAATTGTAGCAAATACCAAAGGGAAAATACAAATCATTTCAGAGTAAATGAATTGCCTGGCTGTTCTCATGTAGTAGATACTTCAATGATGCACATATGGCAGTATTTTCAAAATGTTAAGAGCTATTAATACCTTGAATTGAAAAAAATAAAAAAGCCCAGAGAAAATATACCACAAGTAATCAGTTTGAATTATATGAAAAGCTATTTAGATCTTGACTTTCATAGAAACACTAATTTTTACCACTATAAAAGATAACATAATTATATTTCATTTTTCTTTATAAAACTACCCTTTAACAGAATATTCATAGGCTAGTCATTCCTTAGGTTTTCAGTACTGATAAAAAGTTATTTTTAAAAGAAAAATATTTAAAATAATTGTTTCACAGAAACAGAAAGTCTTATCAAATTCTGATAAAAAACTATAATCATGGGTAGAGTCTTACCACGCTACTTTCTTTCACCAAAGATGGTTATTTAGGAAGTGTTATATTAATAAGATAAGCTTCTCAGTGATCTATAAAAGTGCCACAATAAAGATGAGGTAGTATGAGACTTTTCTACCTTTGTAAAAGGTAAATATCATCTTTAGAAGTGATATTTATCCTGACACTGATGTTATGATAATCCTGAGTCTCATCACTTCTATAAGAGGTGCCACTTGAGTAGCTACCTTTTGTGGAGATCAAGACAATCTTGAGACCACTGAGAAGAAAATGCTAGAAGATAATGGTAACAGATTTTCCTGGTTTAATTTTGTAATTGCTAAAAGTTTACTTTAAAGCTATTATTGGAAAATGCTATTTTTATGTTAATAGCAGAACTGCAAGATAGGAAATGGTATTTCAACATAAAAGCAACAATAAATAAAACATTTGCTCTACCTTGGACATTTTGTAGGTCAAAACAAAATTCAATCCAAATAGAAGTTTCCTAATACAGCTAAACTAGCATCAAGGTATCAATGGCTATATTAAAAAAATGCCAATTTGTACAAAGGGGCAGACAGTTCACCAAAAGGAAAACTGTGGAATCTTTCTAGATTTATTAGTCACTCTTTTAAAAAAGAAGAATAGGATATCATTTCATTTTATTAGTTACACTGGGCTAATGTTTCTAAAAATGCTGCCCTCTTCTTGGGATAGTAAATTTGAAACATGATCATTTTTTTGTTCTGTTCAGTATAATTTTAGTATGCCAGATAGCTTTCCTTTTTTGAAGTCACATTAAAAACCAAAGTTAATTCTGAAGATAATAATTATTTGGAACTTGAAGATCAAAAAGTAACACAAAGCTTCCTGAATATTGATCTCCATGTATACTTCTTGAATCTTTATTCAAGTCAACTGAAAATAATGAAAAACTACTTAGGTCTCCTCTTTGGTTAACCAGTAGAAATTTGTGGTTGTTTATAATCTATGGAAATTCCTGAAAGTAACAGGCTCAGAGCTTCTAAAAAACAGCTAAGTAGAATCAACAGTTCATAAATGAATACAGAAAAACCCTAGTTGCTTTAATTACTAAGTATTAATATGGTTATTATTTTTAAAGTTTTCATTGAGAAATAAAGTTTATGTTTTAAAGATGGTTTAACTCAGGTGGGGGTTTTAGTTCAGTGGTATAGCACATGACTATCATGGGTGAGGGCCAAGGTTTGCATATGTGTGCACGCACGTACACATAAGGATGATTTAACTTTTCCAGGTAGAGAAGACCACCTATTTAGGAATAGCAAATGACCATGCCATATTGTAGCATAAATGCACCTCCAGAATGTCATGTTTTCATTTGATGCTCATTGATTTGGATTAATCCTGTTTTACAGTTAATATTTAAATTAAAAACACAGAAAGTTTGACTTTAAGCCATTTTGTTACCTGTAACATTCCTATAGTAAATTATAAAGGTCAATTACACTAGTATGGATGAATCGTAGCACTCATCTTTACTGAAGAATTTTAAAGCTCAACAAAAAGGGGATGAGGAAACTATATTTTATGTATAGGAACACTGATAGCATAGGTTAAAAATATTTTACATGTAGAAAAGAACATAAGTTTATTATTAAAGAAAAATACAGAATATCCAAATGTATTTGTAATGCCTACCCAATTTCAAATATGCCTGGACCATCTATAAGTTAAGGAAAGAAAATTTTAAGTATACAATTTACACAATAAAAACCCAAAGTGAACATACATGGTTAAAAATATATGTTAACATCCAACAATTAGTGTAGCATAAGAAAAATAAACAGATCCAGCAGAGGCTTATTTTCGATTCCAACTGCCTTTGTAGAAAAATTCAAAGAGGAGTAACAAGAAAAATAAAATGTTAAATGAAAATACATATGCAATTATTCCCATGTTACTTCCCTTTTCCTAGCATTGTTGTTCTGGCGCATCAATCCTGAGTACTCTAACTTTTGATTTATAATGATACTCCTTCAAATATAATTTCATAGAAGGAGGAATTGGAAGGGCATCAATACCATCGTAAGTTGTACAATTACAAATAACTGTTCTGCAAATATGCTGCAGGGAAAAGGGGAAAGTCCGAATTAAAGGAGTGGATAAAAGTGGTTCAAAGAACATACAGGCACTTGGGTCCTTATAATGTTCCAGGAGCCCAGTAATGTCAGGAGAATGGAAGACACAAGGATCATGTGCATCAAAGCTAAAGTTGTGATTCCATTGTTCAATTCTAGCATGGAGAGAACGACTATAGCGTCTAAAACTAACAGAGAATAAATAGTCTTCCTGTGCTGAGTCTCGAAGTAAAAAGGTACCTTCTGGTTTTCCTTCTAGTAGAGCTTCAGCTGCATATTTATCCATAACTCCCCAGTAACATGGATTGTTATTGATCTGAAGGAGGTCTGGTACAAGACAGTGAACATAATCAATCTGGGTGTGGTACTTAGGAGGTGTTTCCAACTGTAGGATATCATCATCCATTTCCCATTTGGGTTTGTTTCTTTTTCTGGAACTTGTGCAAAGTGTTATAATTTCATCATCTGAATCCATATCACTATCTTCTATACTGTTATTTGGACCTAGGTTCATCATAGAGTCAGTCATGGGACCACCTCTACATGAAGCATTGTTGGTAGTTATGACACAAGGTTGAACATTGGTATGAGAGAAACAGTTTACATCTTCCATGTTTCTTCGTTTTAGCTGACCATCCCTCAATTCACTCTGAGACAAGTCTGTGCTTACCCATTCATCTGATTTGGGACTTATAGGAGCAGTGTGTCGTTTAATAAAATGCCATCTGAAGGCTAAATCTGATCGAGGTGGGAAAGGACACTTATCTAACATTAGTTCACTGATATGAATTTTTCTTCTAGATGGAAGCCCGGAAGAGTGCCGACTACTACAATTCTTTATTGGAAAACACTGCCCCACAGCATCTTGCAATTTTTGTTTCAGAGATCGGCCTAAAAATCTATGACCACAGGAATGATCTAAGTCCAACTCAATAGATGAACAGCTGTGATTTCTTTCTTGGCTCCTTAAAGGAACTTCAGTTTTCTCTATAGTATCCACTGTTTCAGCATCTGAACAACTCTCACTCTTTTTCGACCAAGACAACTTCTTTCCACTCCACACATAACCATCCTTTCTGTCAGCACTTCTACTTCGACTAGTTTTGGGTCTTACATCTATATTTTTACTATTATTTTCACTACTTTCTGCCATTTTAACAAATTTATCCACAGATTCCAGTGTTATAAATACTGCTTTTTCAGTTTTTCTGACAGGATGTTTCTTCTGAGCACTTTCCAGATGTATCTAAAGGGGGGGAAAAAAGTCATTAGCGATGTGTTATCCACCTTTTATTTATAATATAAAGCCCCAATTAGACACAGATGAAAACATAATTAGTACATGAAAAAGATGAGTACTGGCTATGTTGAAAGCAGTCCCAAGTGTTTTGTTCCCACTAAATGTAATCTTGGAGTTCCACAGTCAAGAGTCTAAGGTTCTGTTCCATAGCTCATTTCCAATGTGTATCAAAAAAAGCCATGTCTGCTCTCTCAGCTATAACATAGGCTTAAATCTGAATAATTTCTAGTCTTAAAGTGTATTTCCTGCCTCTCTCTTTTCATTTTATTTTAAAATTTCACAACAGACCAGTGAATTCTTTTTTGTTTGTTTGTTTTTGTGGTGCTGGGGATCGAACCCAGGGTCTTATGAATGCTAGGCAGATACTCTACCACTGAGCCACATCCCCAGCCCTAGACCAGTGAATTGTAAGAACTACAAGTCTTATATGCTGTCTACCCTATACTGTTCCTTTACTTCCTTCTTTTTGTTTCTGTTCCTACTGATTAAAATATGAACAATTTTAAGCTGCAAAGTTAAGAAAGTATTAAATAAATAATTACCACCAAGCAGTAGGAATGTAGTTTTGTCAATACATTTCAACTTTACTACTAACTTATGCAGCTTTCTAGAAATATGGAATTAGACTTTTATTCTTGAACATTTCTTGAAAACAAGTAGATTTCTATAGGATATTACCTCTCTTATGAAGTTGGGTAGACAGGATAGAATTTACATTGTAAAATACTGAGTTTCACAAAGACTCATGGCAATGATTGGTCATAAGTAGAATTAAAGTATTTTTCAGTGAAATAAGATTTTAAGTCAGAAACTAAGGGAAGAAGTTCTATAATCCCAAATATATTGCAGATGAATTTTGAGACTGGGAAAAACAGTTACGCAACATTCTGATTATGATTATGTTTCTGACAATGCAAGAACATTAAAAATTCCAAGTCAAGTACTCCCAGGCACTTGAATTCTTTTTCTTTCTTTCTTTTTTTTTTAATGGCACTAGGGATTAAACCCAGGGACCTGTGCATGGGAGGCAAGCATTCTACCAACTGAGCTACATCCCCAGCCCTTGAATCCACTTTTAAAGTAGGTTTTGAAACAATCATATTATATGATTGTACATACTGGCAAACAAAATAATTTATAAGTGCTTTTTTAAAAGTGTGAATAAATGATACAGACTTTCCAAATAGAGTATTCCTCTTTTGGTGATTAGACTTATTATTTTTATATAATGAGCCCACTGATATGTAATAATTTAAAATCCTTAGGGAAAAATGTTTCTAATCGAATTTTCAAAGATACACCATCACTTAGCAGAGCCAAAATTATATTCAACAATAACTTTGCTTATTTATTGACTAAATTCCACTGAACAAACAATAAGCAAAAGCAACAAAGCTAGCTATAGAATATGAAAATTCACTAAGGTTTGTATCAGAATAGCAGTTTATTAGCTGTATGATCAACTTTACTGGACTGGGTGAATTTCTTAATCTTGCCTCCTTGCTGCTTCTTAATTATGACAATTCTTTTTTTATATCCTCTATTCTTGATAATATTCCCACTTTTACCAGGGTCCTGCTTCAGTATTTCTCTCTTAATTCTTCATTGTCTTCAAAATTCACCAAAGTCTCCTTATAAAATCTTGATTTTAATGCTTCCTTAGAAATTTCCTAATGAGTAGGAAATTGGATTTCCCCTCAAAATGAAAATAGTTTTTTGTTTTTTCCCCAATTATACAAAAAATAATTGTTCAGTTTGAAAATGGCTGAGTGAATTATTCTTTCCTCAGAAGTCAGCCCAAAACAATAAGAGAAAATAAAAAGTAAAATCACAAACCTAGGGCTAGAGGTGTAGCTCGGCGGTAGAAAGCTCACTTAGCAAGTGCAAGGCTCTGGTTGCCAAGGGAAAAAAGTCCACAAACCTCATCTCCAACAAACTATCAGATAATCTATAACCTGAGAAAACAGAGGAGCAATAACTGACTCAGTGGCAGAGAGCTGGGTGTAGAGGTGACATGGATAAAAAGGAAGCCAACAGAGCAGGCAAAGTTCAGGACCTTTAGGCACGAAGTGCTACAGAAAGTGTGGGCAAAGAAAAGGAAGGAAAATGGAAAGGTATGTTGAAAATTTGTCTAAGAACTGTTGGATTTCTTAGATTTTTAATCCCATACTTAGAGACATTTACTATTTGACAAACTAAACCAGAGGTTCAGGACTTTGGATACCAGACATAGGAAAGTGCAGAGGGGAGGCTGGGGACTAAAAATAGAAGGACTAAATCAAAAGTTTTTTAGTCCCTTCTTCCACGTAGCTCCCAGAACTCTGGTGGGCAAGCTTACACTTCCCTACTAGAACAGGAGAACATACTTTTTTCTTTTCTTTTCTATTTTTTAAGAATCTAACCTTTAGTTATTTGTTTTATGTGGTGCTAAGGATTGAACTCAGGGCCTCACCTGTGCTGGGCAAGCACTCTACTACTGAGCTACAATCCCAGCCCAGGAGAACATACTTTGCTAGGAAACAAAGTGGTCAAAGAGAAAAGACACAGATGCTGAGAGCTGGGAAACCACTAATAAAAAGCCAGAAGGCCACACAAGCATGCCCTGAAGCTCACCTCTACACAGCCCTGCCTACACACACACACACACAATCCAGGAAGCATAGTTGTGCTCTACTCACAGATGATCAGTTTTTAGGAAAACTTCTAACATAAATGACAGACCAAAACATAAAGTTTGAAGAAAACACTAAACTGTGGAAGGATTAGACAATAAAAATAGATTTCTGAGCCTCAGTGATAAAGTGGCACTTTGCAGGAGGGAGGCCCGTGTTCCATCCACAGCACCACAAAAACAAACAAACAAACAAACAAATACTGGTTTCTTCCAAGTTAAGAGAAATTATTACAACTATGAATAAGACATAAGAAGGAGGTGAGGGCAAACTGGAAATTAAAAATGATTGCTGAGAAAAATTTGGAGGATAAGTTGAAGAAATAGAAAAAATAATGGTTAAATAGGCATGAAAAAAATTAGAGGATCAATATAGGTATTTCAGAGAAAACAATAATAAAATGGAGAGGTGAAATTACCAAAGAAATAATACTGGAAATTTTCCTAGTGAACATACTGAACCACTATGGTTGCTGCTCAATTCTAGATTGTATTAAGCCAATTAAGATCTGGAAGACCGCCCCCCCCCCCCAAAAAAAAACTCATACCTAAAAGGCATGAGCTTCCATAATGAAAGAGCCTACTGAGCATCTAAGTACACAGACTGAGTAGTCCTAATATGAAAATCTGAAATGCTCCAAAATCGGAAACTTTTTGAGCATAAACATGATGCCACAAGTAGAAAATTCCACACCTGACTTCATGTGATAACATCACAGTCAAAATACAGGCCCATAAAAATACTGTGTAAAATTACCTTCAAGTTATATGTATAAAGTTTATATGTTTAGACTTAAACCCCATCCCAAAGATATTTCATTATGTATATGCAAATATTCCAAAATCTGAAATGGGAAATAATTCTCATCCTAGGGAACACTGAACCTGTGCTGAAGACTTCCTGAGAAGGAAAGAGTTATAATCAAAGGACTACAAATAAAATGGTATTTGGTTTCTCAACAACATTGGAAGCTAGAAATTAGTTTCCTACCTTGAAGAGATAACCAGTCTAACTATCAGTAAAATATGAGGTTAAAATAAATTGTCAGACATGCAAATTTTAACCCATATTAGATAATATATTCTTCCTGTAAACTCTAACCCAAGGAAGATGTGTGATAGGGAAGAAGAAATGTGAGTTCTGGGGAGCAAGAAGGGAATCTCTTGAGAGGGGGTGTGTATAGGGGAGGGTTTAGAGCTGCTAGAGGGTAATCAGCCCAAATAACCACACAAGGACAAAGGCTCCAAGGTGAAGGATCTTGAGGAGAAAATAGATTGACTTTTAGAAAATTGAGAGTGCAAAAGCAAATGGAAAAATGACTATGTAACAAATCATTACAGAAAAATAAGAAAGTTACCCAAGAAAATAGGAGCTGCAGGTATAGCTCTGTGGTAGAGGGCTTGGCAAGCAAGTGTAAAGCTCTGGATTAGATATCCAGCATCACCAATAAGGGGGGAAAAAAGAAGAAACATAAAAACCACCTGCTCAGCAGTTAATGTTATTTAAATATTCATCAAAATTGTGATATAACTAATGTGAGGATGCAAAGAGAGAGAGGATAGAAGTAAATTCCTATTCACCAAAAGAGGAATTCAACACAATGTGTAAAAATTGCTGAATCACAAAAAAGCATAAATATACTATTTAGAAAGATGAAGGTAAAAAAATCAAAGAGTTAAAATATTTGAAAGTAGAACCAAGTGACAACTATCATAATCTCATCAACTGGCAGTATCTGTTTTAACATTTTCAGTATCTTTATATACATATATGGCAAGAATGTAGTTTCATAGCACAGAGATGGCAGGTATTAGAAACATGGTTTGAGTCCAATCCTGTTTTGTACTATGTGTATGATCTAGACACCTCAATGCATCCAACTGCAAAATGGATGCTATTTCACCGGGCTATTGGGGATGAAATAATTTACATAAAGTAATCAGCTTAACCATGGAAATGCATTAAGTTAAATAAATGTTAAAATATACTTTTTTGGAGCTGGGGTTGTGGCTCAGCGGTAGAGCACTCGCCTAGCATGTGCGGGCTCTTGGTTCGATCCTCAGCACCGCATAAAAATAAATAAAGGTATTGTCTCCAAATACAATTAAAAAATAAATACTTAAAAAAAATACTTTCATGTATTTATAAAACAGATATTGTTTTGTTAAAGTAACTAAGTCAGAGAAAGTTCATAATGAGAAATCACAGAATATCTCTATTCCAATACTTAATTATAAAAAAAATTCTTATAAGTATAATTTTGAGGAGAAAACC